CGGTCCCCGGCCGGCGCCGTCGCCTCCCCGCCCCCACTGTTTTCTCCCACCCCTCTATTTCTCCCGAATCCAAACCGAAGGTCCACGTTGTTGATCGTGGGGTGGCTGCCCCTAAAAATGGGCCGAGGCTTTTTTTTTTTTTTTAAACCCTAATTTTTCTTAAAATCTGGTTTGCATGGAGGACTTTAGAATGGCTCGGATAATGAAGGGAAATACCCTTTATTATAAAGCCTTCTCCTTTGTCCCGCTCAAATACAGCCACATGGAATAACAGTTGGAGGGTCAGAACCCTGAAACTGCCCAGTACCCAGCAGGGCTTGTGTGGGTTAGTTTGTGAAGGGGGCAGACTGGGTTTTTTATTCTGATGGATGACCATTAGGATTTCTGAGTGGGGTTTGAGGTCCTTTGCTTCTGTCATAGCCTAGTCGCCCCCCGGGTAAGAGGTTAGTTGGGGTCACAACTAAGAAGAACATTTTGGTGTGAAATGACCCCAAGGCAAAGGGCAGAGCCTCTAAGGTGAAAAGGTGAGATAGTTATATTACTTACCCAGAGCTGTGAAGTGCTTCGTGATGGAAACTAGAGACCTCATTACCCAGGATTTTAAACTATTCTCCTAATATATAGGGGGATACAACATAATTTTTTAAACCTAAGTTAGGAGCCGGTCCTTAAATGATGGTCTGAGAGTGTCCTTTTGGATTATGGCAGGTTCCCCCATATAAAGAATTAGGAGTGGTTTGGTCGTTTTAGCAAGATAGGGGCCAGAGGGAGAAATGACTTTGATGCTTTTGGGTCTCATGGGGATGGGGGCTTGTGGTGGCCAGGGCAGATGCCCTGGGCCTCCAGAGGTGTGGGAGAAGGTGAGTCCTGCACCATCCCTCGGGCACATCCTGGAATCAGGTTGGTTGGCCCCAGGGAAGCCTCTTATCATCTGCCGATTGGAAAGCCTGACCCCCGGACCCATTTATAGGGTGTAGATTAGCTCCAGATAGGACTTGGCCCATAAAGAGAATTATTACCTAAAAATCAAGGAAGAGGAAGTTATAAACATGTGACTGGGCTTATAAAATTTTCCTGGCTCAGCATTTGGTGGAATTAATTTGTTAGTGTTTAATAGATTATTATGGATCTTCATTGTGTTAGAATCTTAGGCTTTTAATGCGGCTTAGAATCTTGCAGGTGATCTCATTGAAAATTCAGGTGGGGCTGTCCATGTGCTGAGATCTTATAATTTAACCATGGTTTTTCTCTGCAGAGTGAGTAAACTAAGACCCTCTTGCTGGGTGTCTGGGGGTTGGGATGCCTTTCTGGGTCTCAGTTTTTCCATTTTTGAACCAAGAGTGGTTGGATTAGATGATTTCTAGAGTTTTTCCAGCTATTGTATTCTATGACTTAATCTTCCTCTTAATGCCATCTCTTACTTTTTTTTCTTTTCCTCTTAAATCACCAAGACAGTTGTTCTTAACAATTTTGTGGTTATGAATCCATTAAAAATCCTGATGAGAAGGTGTTGATCACTTTCTAGAAAAAATGCCCATACAAACAAAATATTGCTTTTCATTTCAGGATGCTCCTGGAATACAGACTGTAGTTTATGAACCTCGTACTAAGGGGGTGAGCAAAATGCCAATGAGCAGGAACATGTCTTTTAATAGACAGATCCACAGACTAACCTTTCTCTTGTGTTCTGGCCCCCTATAATTGTCCCCCACACAGCTCCTTCCTCAGAGAAGGGAAAAGTCTCCTGCCTTTCTAACAGGAAAGACCCATAGGAATCTGTACCCTGCCAAGTTATTTTCTGGAGGGAGCTTGGTGGTGCCATTCTCTCATTAAGTGCTCCTCCCAGATCTGTCCCATATTTATAAAAACAAGGGACTGTTTTAGAATTCTGGGACACTTGAGATCCATTCACTTTGCAGGTGAGGAGAACCCCAGAGAGAGGTTCAAGCGACGTAACCAAGGTCTAGTTAGAGAAAAGCCTTTGCTGGAGTCTGCAGTTTTCAAATCGAAGTCCACTTCCAAGTTCACACACTTCACCAGCTGGGGTTATTGGATGAAAAAGTTGTATTTGGTGCTCACGGGACCTCACCTTCTCCCCAGGACCTGGACACCCTCTCTGACCCCATAGCCATCTGCAGGGTAGCTGGAGTTTTCATTATACTCACTTGTTGCTTTATGGACCAGCATGGCTCTGGATGTGAGCATATTCTTGGGGACATTATGTCTTGTCACTGCTGATTGTTTCGAAGTTGTTTGCCTGAAGAGGTCACATTTTAATCAGAAGAATATAAATACTTTTTTTTTTTTTTGGGTGGGCGTCTGTCCAACTGCCTAGGGGATTTCCACTCCTCTTCTTGTAAATGTGGGCTGTGAGTTGATACAGCGTGACTGCTTTCTCTTTTTCTCTGTGCTGTTGGGACAGTTGCCTGCTCTGGCAGGAATGTCTCTGGGCTCCCTAGGACGGTGAGGTCCCCTGATTTTGGTGCCTCTGGAAGAGTCTATCCGGGCTAACTTTGTCTATAGCCACAGTTGATTTCCTCACACTCGTCTGCTATCTTCCAGTTGGTCATAAGAGTTCCTGAGGAAGAAAGTTGGGATAATAATACCAATATCTGTTATTTAGAGAAATCTTTGAACGTCCAGGCACTGTCTCAGGTGTTTTATACGCATTGTCTGAGCCCTGACTACAGTGATGCCAAGTACCAATAGTTTCCCCAGCATTTCAGCTAGTGTAGCTGACACTTCAGTGTTAAGTGATGCTCCCAGGTCACCCAGTTGAGAGATGGCAGGATTCGAATGGGACCCCAGCTCTGCCTTTCCCAAATTCATGCTGTTATCACTAAACCAGCCCTGAAGGAATGTTCTAGAAGGATAGCCCGAGACTTTTTTCTTTCTCGGAGATCACAAATGTCCTATTTGCTCACAGACACTGGTCAGAGTGGGCATCAAGTAATGGAATTGGCTCTTAGAGGGATGGGTGCTCATTGAAGGGACCTGAAAGTGTAAAAGTGAGCTTTCCCTGCCTTGTGCTAAAGATGGAATGGGGTCATTAGAGGTGGCTGAAAGGGAGCATGGGGTAAAAGCTGGAAGGCACAGGCAGAACCGTAGGTGGGGCCAACATCTGGGTGAAGGGCCGCTGCAGAGTTCCCAGGGAGCTTTCAGTTTTCATTCAGGAGCCTGAGGTCCTGGAGGCAGGCATGGTCTTCTCACAGCAGGTGGCCCAGAGTTCCTGGCAGTGTGGGTTTCCCCAAGCTGGCACCTGCGCTGCGACCTCTGATTTTCCTGATAGCAATTCTTGGCTGTTCAGTACCTGGGGTGCTGTGATGAATGAGCCAATATTTGTAATGTCTTAGACTATGCTTTCTCCTTTCCAAGGATGTGTGACAGGAACGGAGGCCGGCGGCTTCGGCAGTGGCTGATTGAACAAATTGACAGCAGCCTGTACCCAGGGCTGATTTGGGAAAACGACGAGAAGAGCATGTTCCGGATCCCTTGGAAACACGCTGGTAAACAAGATTACAATCAGGAAGTGGACGCCTCCATTTTCAAGGTAAAGGCTGGACTTCCCTCCCCTGACCACGAGCCGGGCCTCTGTCTTCCCTCACTGGCCGGTGGAGGTGTTGAGTGACAACTTTCTTATTTTCTTAAAAATTAACCCAATTTTTTAAAACTGAACATTGATTGAGTGCAGAATGTGTCTAAAAAATATACTAGGCGATTTTGCAGCTACTGTGTGATTTAATCACTTTGAGGTCAGTTGTATGTTGGTGGCATTTTTTGGATGAGATTAAGGACACTTTTTGCCTTCTTGCAAAGTTATTACATCTGTTTGGCAATGTGGGGTCAGCTTAGTGAGAGAGACACCATCTGTCATTACTTCCGGGCTGGGTCATATGGGATGTCCTGCCGCAGGTGTCTAGAAATAGTCTGACTTCCCTTGAGAATAGTGAGTACCCCAAGCATGGGAGGACTTGCTGTTTGGTTCTACCATTTACACTGAGACTCAGCACTGATTGAGAGTTTGGCCTGGCCCCACAGGGTTTGTTTTTTCTTCTACCACAGTCTTATGCAGGAGGTGCTGTCTTTGCCCTGGTTCTGTGGAATCACTGAGAGGAGAAGTGACTTGTTAAAATCTCACAGCTCTTGGATGATGGAGTCAGCATTTGAACCCAGGCAGCCCAACCCTGAGCCTATGCTCCCAACCCCTAGCAGTACTGATAAACAGAGGTTTCTTGCCATTACACTTAGATTCAGGGTGAGGAACCAGGAGCAAGGGCAGTGCAGCTCTGCAACCTAGAGGGTCATCAGGGTCCCCTGTGGGCTTCTCTAAGGCTCCAGAAGTGCAGGTTCTACCCCCTGAGAGATTTGTAGCCCTAGGTCAAGGTGAACCCAGGCTTCTGTTTTTGCAAACAGATGCACCACAGGTGGTCTGACTCAGCCCAGGTTGCAAACTGGTGCTGCTGTGGGCATTTGGGGGCTCCAGGACAGGGAGGGGAGAGTGAGGGAGCATGGAGGAGGGGTGGAGAGGCTGAGCTGTGAAGGGTCAGAATCAGACCTGACACTTTGGTTGAATGAGGGGAGCAAGGCCCTGCGGGACTCCATTGCAATACCAGACTCTTAGCCAGGGATGACTGTCTTCTGACACAAAAAGTCAAAAGTGACAAAAGATCATAACTTGGTCTCAGAGTGGAGCATAAGCAGGTCAGAGTTGGCTTCTGAGGCATTTCTGTCCTTCAGGTCTCTTTCTGATGTTTGCAGTGGGGCTGTACATGTAGCAATGCTATGAAATCTCTCACCTGGGGTCGCAACTCTCTGAGAATCTGATGCCAGTTACTGGCCCTCTCCAAGGGAAGTGGGCACATGTGGATGTTTTACACTCACCTCAGGGGACCCCACGTGGCCTGAATGCCCAGCAGATTTTTTTCCATCAAGGACCGCAGGTCAGGAGCCTAGGCTCTGCCAGGTTTTCGAGCTGCTAGTGAGTCCTGTCTCCTTCTTGGAGGAATGTGGATTCCTCTCTTGTGGAGGTTTTTTCCGTTAGCATTATACTGAGCTCTTCTTGGAATGACTCTAGCTAAATTTAGACAGTGCCCAAGGTCCGTCTGGTCAGCTGGGAATTCTAGATTATAGATGGCTAGAAGCCAGGACCCCTCAACCTTGGCACTGTTGATTGACATCTAGGGCCAGATAGTTCCTTGTTGTGGGGGTGCACTGTGGGATATTCAGCAGCATCCCTGACCTCGACTGACTAGATGCCAGCAGCATCTACCCCCAAATGTGACAACCAAAAATGCCTCTGACATTGCCAGATGCCTCCCTGGGGGCGCTGTCTCCCCTTCCACATTGAGAGCCCCTTTAGGAGCTGACCATGGCCAAGATGAACAGATTTACGCAGAAGTGTGGGGTGCTGAGGGCACATTCTGGGAGGAGAGTAAAGGGGGCTGGACCAGTAGGCTGCATAACCCTGGCTTGGGGCTTGCTGGTGGAGATGCAAGGCCTCTCCCTTCATGCTGCTCCCCGTTTCAGCTTATGCGCAGGGGGTAATGAAATAAAGCCCCAGATTTATACATCTTATGCAATGTTCTTCATGGCCGTTTCAACAGCGTTGAGAAAAATGCGCAAGATTCCCAATGTTTCCGTTGATTACGCAGTCGCTCAGTGTGGCAATCTGAAATGAGTGTACAATCTCAGCAGGAATGGGGGTGGGGGGGCATGGGTGCCCACCCAGGGCTGCGCAGCCACCGGGAGGGTGACAGCCTGGGCTGGGGGAATACAGGTGGGAAGAAGGCATCTGGCGCTTCCCCGAGTCGCACTAGCTCTCTGCAGCCTCTGAGGGGCGGATCTCGGACGTCCAGGAAACGTGTCTGCTCTTGGAAGAAGCTGGTAGGCAGGCCTTGGCTGGATAGAGCCAGCTTAGGGATTTTCTGGTGAAGTTTAGTTTCACACAGTCAAAGAAAACCTGTCAAACACTTATGAGTTAAGAAAACCAGTCTGTTTTCCTGCCGTAGTAAGTGGGCTTAAGAAGCTACTTATACCAGAGACTCCTTCATCGTCTGCAGGCATCATTCTGAGGTCAGCTTCATGGTGGAGACCAGAGATGGGAGACTGAAAAAGACATTTAGCTCAGTTTGTACCATCCCTGGATGCACTGATGAGGCCCTGATATCAGTCCATATTTATTTTTTACAAAGTATTTGCCTCCTTTTCATAATGTTGAGGGGGGAAATGGAGTAAAGGGGGGTTATGATTCATTGGTCGTTCTCTCATTGACCAGGCATTGTGATAGTCCTAAATGGGTTAGAACTCACTTAGTAGGCCTTTGAAAAAAAACACCATTTGATTTTTAAAGCACGAGATGAGACAGTAATGCTCAGTCAGGAAGGGTTCATGGTCCCCGGTTTAATGCTGGCAGCTGATGAGGGCAGAGCGCCTTGTGGATGGGAGTATAGGTTACGGTGGGACTGGGCGGCCGTGGCGGCTGCTATTGGAGGGACTCAGAATCGCTCTTTTCTGTCTAGCAATAGCCCTTAGGGTCTTGACAGATCTCCCAGCTGGGTGATATTTTAGAGCCAGCCCGAGAACCTTCAAAAAGACTCAGTGTGGGCTGAAGCGGGGAACCTGATGCCAGCGCAGGGTGCTTCCTGCCCACAGGCCCTGCTTTGCTTTATGATGTCCTGGCTATTTTCATGGGGCAAGTGTGAGCCTTGAATGAACCAGTGGTTATGACCCTGTAGGCTGTGCAGTTCTCGGTAAGTACCAGCTGATCCTAACATTGCCCCTAAATCCATGCTCTTCAAGGTCCATTTGTAATATGGATTAGGCCGGTGGTTCTCAAATGTGTGTGTGTATCATGATTTTACTTCCTGGGGACACTTGGCATTGTTGGTTGTCACAATGGGGGTGGGTGTGCTACTGGCATTTAGTGGGTGGAGGCCAGGGATGCTGCTAGACATCCAACCATGCACAGAATAATCTGTCGATAGTGCTGAGGTAGAGATACTCTGATTTAATGTAATAAATACTTGAAATTACTGTTCAGTGTGTACGTGGTTTGCTCTTATATTTCTCTAGTGCAGTTAATAAATGATTGAAAAACAAAACACTGAAAAGAATTGAAAACCACTTTTAAACATATTTCTAAAGGGGAGTTTTTCATCTGTGTCAGTAAAGGAAATGACCACTCATGCTCATTAGTAGGAATGTTTTAACAGTTTCTCTGCATGGAGCAGAGATGCAAAATCTGAGCTCTGGGCATCAACAGAGGAGGGAGCATTGGCAGTGGACTGTGAGGTCTTGTCTACTATGGGGAGATAAAAAGCCAAGACTTTTAAATGGAGCTGTGACTTACAGGGGTGTTATGGTGTTTCTGGGAGCGTGGCCTCATGTGCACCTGGGTCAGAATGACTGGGATGTTCGCTAAGGATGCAGGTTTGCAGACCTTACCCACACCAACGAATGAGAATCTTGAGGGGCAGGTCCAGGAATCTGCATTTCACGACTCCCAGGGGATTGTCATTAAGGTAGAGAATAGCTGGCATTTAATCCCATACAAGGTCACCTTGGGAAAGTTACCTCTTGGAATTGCATTTTCCTGAGTGGGGTTGAGAATTCCTTTTAGATCTGGTATTATTTTAGGTTGGAAGATGTGTCTGATTTTGTCTAAAGCCAAAAGTTATTTTCACCTGACAGTAGTGACCTCCTAATTGATGTGTCCTGTATTCCAATTTTGAAATTAAAAGTATGTCCATTCACATATTTTATTTTAAAAAACTAATGCCTCATTTATGTCCGGCTGGTCTCAGTGGTTGAGCGTCGACCCATGATCCAGGAGGTCATGGTTTGATTCTGGTCGGGGCACATGCCAAAGTTGCAGGCTCGGTCCCCAGCAGGAGGCAGCCAATCAGTGACTCTCTCTCATGATTGATGTTTCTCTCTCTCCCTGTCCCTCCCTCTCTCTGAAATCAATAAAAACATATTGTAAAAAAATTAAAATAATCCCCCATTTACATTTTGACTTGAAGTTTCCTGCTTTGAATCTTTGTTCTTAGTTCAGAGTCTAAGATTTGGAGAGGTCAGAAAACAGAGCTGTGAGAAAATGAACAGAGGGAGAACATTTCATTGCATTGTGAGCAGTGCCCTGGGGAGGTTGGGGGAAGGTTAGAATAAATGCCAAAATGCAAAACAAAATTTCTATTAAAAGTAGCAGGGCAGTCAGTGGATGACCCACACTCAGAATTTTTGCAAATGTTTCCCTTTCATGCTAAATTTTCATGCTTGGGGTTGATTAAAAAACACACACAAATTGTTCTTTGTTTTGAACATTCTAGTGAAACCATGTGCACTTCCTTCTTGTGCTACTTGACCTCAGGCTCCTCCTGGCTCTCTGGTCCAGGGAAGGATTTGTGTCAGGGAGGAGCCTTGGCCTGAGTTCCAGTTTCAACTCAGCTGGGAGATCTTGGGGGACCCCTTCTTGGCCTGGGTCTTCTTATATCTGTCCAAGAAAGTGGTCTGATTGAGGTCTCTGAGCCCCGAAATTCCCTGAATGAGAGTTGATGGCCAAAAATGACTTTCAGGAGGGTGAGCATGTGCTGGTCCTGACTGTGGCTGTGGATATCTGTGGTCGAGGGGCAGGCTGTGTGTTTCATGTGCTGCTTTCTCTTTCTTCAGGCCTGGGCAGTTTTTAAAGGGAAATTTAAGGAAGGAGACAAAGCTGAACCAGCCACGTGGAAGACAAGGCTACGCTGTGCTTTGAACAAGAGTCCAGATTTTGAGGAAGTGACAGACCGGTCCCAGCTGGACATTTCCGAGCCATACAAAGTTTATCGCATCGTCCCAGAGGAAGAACAAAAATGTAACTATCCTTGATGGGCACTCAGTCCAACAGAGGGTGCAAGGCCCAGGCTCAGGGTGGAGGCCACCACCCACAGGGTCTGGGGCAAATGGTTTTAGCTAAACAAAATAGTTCTCTCCTTTGTATAAGCAGATATGGAGATCTCTTTCCGCTGACCTCACCCACCATCTGCTGACCAAGTGGCAGCTTCTGGTTGAGTGAGAGGTGGAGCCGATGGAAGGAAAGGGTGGGTAGATTGGGTGGCAGCCAGTTTTGCTGACCAGGATATCCCTGGGGCTTAGGAATGAGATTGGGCAGGAGCAGGGATCCTCTGACAGTGTGGAAGGAATTCCTTTTGTTTTCTAGCAACTCTAAGAGGGGGCCAGGGGGACATAAAGTGAACAAAGAAGGGATGGCTAATGAGGGTAGAGGGTAAAGTTCTTGAATGAATTTGCAGATGATGACACTGTTAGTTTCATCACCACAATTCAGTATCGTTAGATCCTGATCCTTGTTTGGGAACTCAGGATGTGGTAATTCCTGAAGTTTCTTCCACCTCTAAAATCCCAGGAAAGCATCTGTGAGGAATTTAAAGCAGGGATAGCAACAACCTGCTGTACATCTCCCAAGACTTGATTTCTACACTCCAGTCAGATATCGCTAATAAATCAGGATGGATGGAGCTCGGATCTGGCCTCAGAATCCTTCCAGAGGGGTGTGCTCTGCAGCTGCTATGCATCAGAGCTGGCCCATAAGATCAAATCTAATTGCCATCTCTGGTTCAAAACATTGTTAACACATTGATTTTCTTAGCCATTAATTGTAGCAATGAGAATATTGGCATGGCATCCTTTTGTCCTTTGAAGAAGTCCAGTAAGATCTGAAAGAAATAGAACACTAATTAGGACTATGCAGAAATTCTGAGTTTGAGCTCTTGCCACTGTGGGAAGGTTAAAAGTGTTGATGTGTAATTTTTAAAAAGTTAAAATTGTGACCCTAACAAATATATAGTGAGCCTGGGTCAGAGAGTTACTTGATTCATTAATGAGGGAACCAGCACAATGACAAAGATTGTTCGACAGAATATGACACACTGACTTACATGGTCAGTGAAGGACAGAGTCTGACCAGGCAAGACAACCATAGTTTGGGGGTTATCTTTTCTGCTGGTCATTTGTAGCTTAATTGCCTGTAAATGAACACCTGGCTTTACTGAGTCTGAAGCCTAATCGATAGTCGATAGTCGATACTAAGTCAAGCAAACTGACCTTGCCCTGGAAAATCAGATAACCCTTAGGGGAGACCTCTTGGATAATCCTCTGGAATGGTTTTGAAAGGCCAGTCATCTTTTTGCTTTATTTCCCAGTTTTGGATATGTATATATATTTTTGTCATCACAAAGTAAATTGTGATTTGAAGGAATAGAGAAGTTCCTCTCACTCCCCTACCCCCGGGATCAGCCAAGCTTGAACTGGCAGGTGACCCTAACTTGTTTATAGCATGGGGCGCAGCCAGCATCACCTGCAAGGGTGGATGTTAAAGAGCAGGTTCTCAGGGGGGCAGAGAAGCATTGCATTTGCATAAGGCCTACGTGGACCCATCCCCTCTGTACTTCAGTGGTTTGCAAGCTCCATTGAGGGTGCCCCACCTGCCCCCTACTTCCCTCATCAACAGCTTCTAAGTGAATTCTTGAATCAAAATGGAATAAAAATTCAGTGCCAATGAAACAATAGGCCAATGCTGTAGATCACTGGGACTCAGGAATTCCAACCAACAGGTGTTTGTTGGTTATAGTACACCTCACACTGATAAACTTAATGAGGTGATTTTCTGGCCAGGGAAGAGACATAAACCCAGGGAAGAGACTAGCCCGGTCCAGAGTGCTTGTCGTGGAAATGCTCACATGCCTTTAGTGATTCCCGATGAAGGTGGGTTCGAACTGGGCATGGGCGAGTCTTTGTGGTATGCCTTGTGTGTGTGTGCGTGTGTGTACAGATGCACACGTGTATATTTGGAAAGGCCAAAAAGAGATTTCCTGCCAATTAACTTAAAAAAAAAAAAGCTCTAACCTGCAAATGCATTTTGCCAGGAAACCTTTGAGTGCCTTCAAGTGCCCCGGCTTGTAAATTTAACCTCTGCAGGGTGGTAGGCACCTGGTATAAAGGACATCTCATACGAATTCCTTTCAGATCTCCACAAACAGAAGGAAGAGACCAAAGTGCTCTTTATCCTCTGAGTGTTAGAAACAACAACAACCAACTTCTCTCTTTTGATTCTGCTGATCAGATGACTAAAGAAGCATGGGAAAAAGTTTTCTAGGCCTTCCCCAAATCAGGGAAGACACTTACTGACTTTTATTTCTTTCAACTCAGCATTTAAAAAACTCCCAGTGATTATGGCCTCACTGATGGTTGTGATGTCTCAGTGCTGTGGTCACGTTTTGTCATGTTCGTCTGCTTTTCCATAGGCAAATTAGGCGTGTCCACTCCTGGCTGTGTGAATGAAGTCACTGAGATGGAGTGCAGTCACTCTGAAATTGACGAGCTGATCAAGGAGGTGCGTGGGGGCAGCATTTCCAGAGGTCTGGCCCAAAGACAGAAGCCACATGTGCTTTGGTGGGCAGTGGCATTGTTCATGCCCTGCCAAGGCATCCAGAGCCTCGGGCTCTCCCCACAAACCTTGTCTCTACCCCAACAGAGACAGAATGTGGACTGGGCCACCTATGTGAGGCCAGCCTCCACCAGCTGGTCAGCCCCTTCACCTGGTGTCCGCTCCTTAATCCTGAGGGCTGGGGCAGAGTGCTTTCTCTGTGTCAGTGGTGTTCCCTCAAGCTCTCCCTCTTCGTATTTAAACATTCTGAATGGCAGTCTTTTTAGTGCATCATATATTTTCTTGCTTTCTTAGCAGGCTGCAGTGAACAAAATGGAAACCTTTCTTCCTGCTTGGGGCTGTCCCTATGGGCTGGCTATTGCACTAGCTTTCTTGGCTGGTGGGTTGCCTGTCTCTCAATACCCAGCTTTCCATCCTTGATGGGTTGGAAAGCTGCATAACCAAGCTCGTTAGCATTGTATGTAAAGTCATAGTTAATACGCTATCAGTAAAGGCTTAATGGGGCCTCAGACGATGGGTATTTGAATACCAATTTTAGCTATTTGGATGCCATTTTCTTCTGCCTTTAGCCTTTTAACTATGTTTTTTATGGCTGTTACAAGGTGGACATGGCATAGCTAAAATCCCACACAGTCCTTGCAAAAGGCGGTGTGGGTATTGTATAAATTCTCAATTCACACAGCAATGCTACAATCCTTGGGAGCAACTTGGCTGTCAGAAAATGCAGGTAACAAAATACAATCTATTCCAAGCCGCCTGACTTTCCTGTACATAGCCGCTGTTTCTGGGTGGTCTTTGGCAGCAGATCAACTGAGTTCCTGGCTTCATGTCACTCTAACAAGGTCCCATTTTCCGTACAAGGTTTTTCTGCTCACTCAGCTAAGAGAGTGAAATAATTGGATTGGTGCACTAGGATCACAGGAAAAGCAGATTTAAAAAACATTGCCTAACTGATTTGCCAACTCCTTTAAGAAATGGGGCAGAGATGGAAAATTGAGACATGGCGTATTGAGTGAGACTCGCTAAAACATGGCAGAGCCCACTCAGTTTCAGGGTGCATTGGGGGTCCCAGAACTGGCAATGGGCAGTTCATGTAAAAGGCCAATACACTTATTAGCGGCTCTGAAGAGGCTAGTAATTCAGTCACGTGGCTTGATCACTAAGCCTGCTGGATTGTCCCGGATCTTTCAAGATGCAAAGTAAAACTTCCCTTTTGTCTTATGAGCTAAAGGTGATAGTATAGTTTCAGTTAAGCTTAAGCCATTCGTCTTTACAACACTGGGGTCCTGACTGCACTGCTTTTCTGTCTGTCCTCAATTGCACAGCCTTCTGTGGATGAGTACATGGGGATGGTCAAAAGGAGCCCTTCACCACCTGAGGCCTGCAGGAATCAGTTCCTCCCAGACTGGTGGATGCAGCAGCCCAGCGCAGGTGAGGGTGGGAGCCCAGGATCACTCGAAGTGGGGTGGGGGCTGGGCTTGTTTGAATGGTTTCAGCCCTATTGCAGCTGGAGTGTGGTGGGGGCGGGAGTGCTGCTACCATCCCTATTTTATGGATGGTAACTGATCCCGGAGAGGTGGCCCTTGAGGGCAGAGCCCAGCCACGCCCTTAGCCCCATTTTCCTCTGTCCTTCCCTGGGAGATGTCTACTTTCCCCTCTGCGCCTGAGAAGGTCCGAGGGGAGGGAGTGCAGTGAACTTCATGTAGAGCAGAGGGGATTCACAGCTCTGGGCCATGTTAGGTCTGTTAGGTCCGCCATCCAGTTTCTTCAGACATTAGGGGCTCCTCAGAGCCAAGCACATCCCAGAGCAGCTGGAGAGCAGGCGAGCTCAGGAACGGCCAGTTGTTTACTCAGAGCCCTGGATGTGAATCCCCTGTCAGAAGTTGCATGAGGCTCAGTTTACTTGTCTGAAAAATGGAGACACCAGGACAGACCCTACAGGGTCTTGAAGTTAAATGAGACACTTACACTCTTATTAGTTTCTGATAACCCCTTTTCTCTCCCTGCCCATCACCACTGCTTGAGATGACCCTTCTTCCAGGAGCATCAAAATTACCCTTCCAACGGGAGCATGAGTGGCTTTGGTTCCTTGCTTGGCCTCTCCCCCCACTGTACCCTGTGGGAGAACAGGAGGTGATAGCTGGCCTAATGGGCCTCAGAGATTGCCAGGGTGTGGGATGGTGTTAAGTCAGGGGCCCTGGGAGAGCCCCCTCTCCCTGTGCTCAGCACCTCCGAGAAGCTAACTCGGGCCCAGGCTCCCCTTCGAGTCAAGCCCTGGATGGTGGGCACGCAGTCCAGCAGTATTTTGAGAGCAGGCCCTCAGGGGGAAGGAAATGTGGCCCCACAATGTCACACTGACACATGGTCAGAAATCCCACAGCACAGAGGAAGTCTTCCCCCCTCCATGCTGATTGGGTTGAGGTCTGGTTTTCTGCGTTTATGAAACATAGGTCGCCACACTGAGAGGGAAAAACACCGAATTCAGCGGAAGCCTGTGGCAGGGCCTCAGGACCACGCCATATGTGGCTTTTTAAGAAACTTTTGGAGAGGGGGAGCATTTGGGCTGCTTCCCCTGCACACAACTGGGTCTGGCTGGGTCTGATTCTGCTTCTCTCTTTCTCCAGCAGGCTTGCCGCTGGTGACGGGGTACACCGCCTATGATGCGCACCACTCAGGTACAGAGTTCTCTGGGCTGGCTGCCATGGGAGGGGGGCACTCTGAAGACGAAACTCGAAGGGCCCATGTGGGTTCTTGAGGGCCCCTAGATGAGCACAATCTGGTGTCAGAAGTTGGGCACCCAATTCCTCCTTTACTGTGTGGTTTGGGAGTGAGTAAGTGGCTGGCCTTTTTGAGCCTCTTCTTGGATTGGACCAACAGAGAGAATCGAAGAGCTCTTTGCAGGCCTAACTATATGGGAGAGTGTAGGTACAGACATACTCAAGGTCCAGCTCTGCCCCTCTCATGTGACCCCAGGCAGAGTAACTGAACCACTCGGAACCTCAGGCTTCTCATCTGTGATGTGAGAACAACAGTAACAACTACCTCATGGGAGTGTTGTGAGGATTAAACAGAGTTATTAAAACTTTCTGGTGGGGACATATTGGTGAACGGATGTCACCAGTGTCAATTTCCTTTACTCTTTCCCTCACCTAAGCTTATAACAATAACAGTGCTAGTAACAGTAATGGTGGTGGTGATGATCATGGCTATAGTGGTGACGGTGGTGATGATGGTCATGATGGTGATGCTGATAGTGGTGATGGTGGTGATGGTGATGGTGGTGATGGTGATGATGATGGTGATGATGGTGGTGGTGATTGTGGTGATGGTGATGGTAGTAGTGGTG